GCTATCTTATATATACAAGAACCCCAAATACCGTCTATGGTGTGGTGGCGATTTTACGCATTAATTAGTGGTACGGTAAAAAAACCACACCCCCTAGTTTCCCCCCCCTTTCCCTCCCCTCCCCCTGTTTGAATTTCATCCTGGGGAGAACCCTGGGACCGAATGTCCAGTAAAAGATTTTGTCTTCTGGCGAAGACCGAGTTTCAATCTAATACTCACTCCATCTGTATTCTTTACAAAGTAGCTTCCGCTCGACCCTTGATATATTCTTTCCGGATATATTACTTCCTCAATGGCTCGCTCTGCCTCTCTGATGATTTCTGTGAACTCAGGGTCAGCGGGAAAAATATTGTCAGTGACACTAAACTCGTGTTCTACGTATCCAAGCAACGGTTGACTTTCTCTATTTGTACGTTGCGATGGAGAACGTTGATCCAGTGCCGGGGCGAATGTAACGTCTGGTTGAGGTAAGGCACTCATATCTGTCAAGTCAATCACAGACGACGACGGGTTGGGCAACTCACTAGGTAGACCTACGATAACTTCCTCACTCATCGACAGTATTGAGCCTATCCAATATTATACTGTATTGCTAACCGAAACTGGAAAACCGTGCTATAATGCGGTTACAACAAATCCGATTACGATATGAATTATCATATGCGGGCTGACATATTTGATTAACAAATGAACAACTATTCAACAAATGAGCATCTCGCCTGGTAACACAAGCAAGCATGGCGGCTGGTCCGATCGCTGAACGTAATCAAGGTAACTTAGTTATTGTTATAAGTCTTGTTCATTCAACTCTGCCTTACGCCCTGTATGCAGTACACGACTTGTAGGTCTCCCTCACGAGTACGTCAATGCAATTTGTTTTATTTGTTTAATCAGTCATAAAATTATAGACCGGCATTTTTACCGGCTTTCACCCGAATCGCGATTACATAGGACACATACACATACTGACAGACCGAATAATTCTGTCCCATAATGCATATAACCTTTTTTATATTGGCAGTGGCTACGGGTACGCCAGGCGTATCTTCATGTCTCGAGGCTACGGGTACGCCAGTCCATTCGCTTTCATACTTAACGAGACAAAGATGGCGGCGGTCGCGCCAGATTTCGAAATAACGCCTTGGGAAATAAATTCACGATTTGAGAGTTTAGATGAGC